CCAATGCTTTTATATATGTGATAAACAAAGACCATATCACGTGCCGTTCATCTTGGAAAGCTGGCAAGAATATTTTTTGCTTTTCTATTACAATAATCTTGTCTGAATAGTAAGAAATTTAAAATATCTTGTGTTTCTTTCCAGTTTCTTTTTATCTTGAACTTCAGTCAAGATTCTTTTGAAAGAGAAGAAAAAGATTCTTGTCTGAATATTAACATATCTTGAATATCTTATAATTCTTGCCTGATTTCTTTATTTCTGATTGTTCAGACAAGATTCTTGTCAACTGAAAATTCTTGTATGATTCTTTTTACTTTCCTGTCGAAAAGAATCTTGCCTGAACACAAGAATCTTGTCAGAAAATCAAGAAAAGCAAGAACCTGGAAAGAAGAGGACATGAACGTCGACTAGTGTAGGAGCTAAATAAAATTTTTATGTATCGTCTGAGGAAATAAAACACCGTTTGAATAGTCAGCTATCAAACTAAAAATGATTTGCATATGGCAATGTTTCTCTTGGCACTTATTGAACAGAGAATGTTACTCAAAAATAAATTGCGCATGCTTGTATTTACTTTTACAATGTATTATTGTTGGTGACTGTACAATTTACTTTAATTTTTGTTACTTTTTAAAAAAAGAAAAAGAAATGATTATAAATATTTCTAAAACATAAATAAGACCATTATGCAACATATAGCATGTTTTCATTAAAGGTATATCCACGATTTACAGAGAAGTAATTCTACAAAATTCAGGATTCCTGCTGCTGTACCTTGAAAAAATGAGAAATTTTTCTTTTTTTTCTAATTTTTTAAACATGTTGAATAACTAACAATGCAATCTAAAAGATGAATAATATATTGAGTAGCCTATTAAATATTTCCATGGATATTATTGTCCTTAATTTTGTCGTAATGAATTAAAGATATATCCCAATATTCAGTTCTTTTTTCAAATAGTATGAAATAGAATCGATGATTCACAAGAAGAAAATTATTTTTCATGACACAAACTTTCCGTAATAACATCTATTTGAATCATTCAATCGAATGATCTTCTTTAAAAAAAAGTGATTTCACCCATATCTACTCAATAATTGCATGAAAGAACAGAGAAAATACTTCTGAAAGGATACAACAAGATAAAACGAAAAATATTCATTTTATTCCTCGTTGCAACTCGCTTATTTACACATACTTCACTTTGAATGACTGTGTACATATAGAAAGACAAGAACGAAAAAAACAGATGGCAATTATATTAATGATATATGAAAGTTTGTTTTGTTCGTTGTTAGTATACTTTTTTTATTGATCTCTCTTGCTTCTGGTACTTACATTTTTCAAAGAATCCAAAAAAAAATACAATCATTTTCTATTAAGTAATAGCTTAGTCATCGACATATTTTCTTTTCCCGGAATGATTTTGAATTTATAGAAGCTTCGTGCATACTCGATAATGGCTTTTTATTTTTAGCGTTAAGCAAAGTGCGATAATCGGTGTTTTAGACATATTCTTACCGATATTTAAACTGCATAGTCTATGAATATAAGCAAAACAAAACATGTATACAATCTATTCTTAATATGGAATAGGATGTGTCCACTAATTGTACAATATGCACAAAGTAGTTTATAGTGTACAGAATCGTCCTCAATAGATTTTAATCAAGACATTCCTATAGAGTAAACAATTTAACTGAAATACTATTCATAAAGTTCTTTTTTATTAAATTATATTTCTCATGAGTACGATCATACTGACATCTTTGTGATTTATTTCACTTTCCACCACCTAATATCAGAATTTGTGAACTATATGTAAAACTGCTCTATTTCAAATACAAGGTCACTGTTAACAATGTAATTTGTAATGTAAAAATATCCTCCAATCTTATTTTTTTTCTGGTTGATTGATCCAGTGTCTATACAATGATTAATATACAATTGTTGTGAACGTCATTCTAATGAAATAACAAGATGATGAATGACAGAGAGAGAAAGAAAGAAAGAAAAAGAATAGAATCCGTTAAAAGAATTGTTTCTTTTTCTTTCCAGATTCTACCGGTGAAAAAGGGTCATCTACACATTAACATACTGAAGTAATTGCGCCAATACAGGTAACACAAAATTGAAAAGAAGAAAAAAATAAAATAGAGTTGCATGTTTGCTTCCTTATCTTGGTTTGTTCTAACGTTGTAAATCACTCCTTTTTCTAAGTTTTTCTTTTTTTCTCTGTTATATTTTGCAATTGTGTTCTCAATAGTCACTAGGTAAATTTTGTCTTCTCATAGCGATAAAATAGTAATACAACTATTGTGCGTCGCAGACAAATCGGAAAAAGCAAGTCGTTGCCTGTATAACTTAATGCTGTAATCTCTGTTGTTATTCAAATAACAACACTGATTTACAAGTTCACATTCATTATCAAGTTACAACTCACATCATCATGAGCATACAGAAATCGAAAGAAGACCTTGGCTCAGTCTCCAATACAGGTGCATCTAATACAACTGCTACAACCACAATGCCATCAATACGTCAGCGCATGGCCCAAAATTATCTGTTGGTTTGGGTCGATGCAAGCATCGATCAAACCAATACGGATTGTCAGAATACGTTGACACAGCTTCGAGCTGTAATTAACGATGTTACTATGTGCAGTCAATCCAACGAATGTATCGAGTTTCTCGACAAATTCAAGGGCGAAAAAGCTTTCGTTATTACATCGGGATCACTTGGCCAACATTTAGTTCCTGAAATCCATGGCATGCCAAATTTAGATGCCATTTACATACTTTGTGGTAACATATCTTATCATCAACAATGGACCAAGGATTGGAACAAAATTAAGGGTATTCATAATAATATCAAGGACATCTGTGATGCCTTAAAAGGAAGTGTCAAACAAGTCAATCAGGATTCAATTCCTATTAGCTTTCTCACCGGAAATGAAACGGTATCCATTGAAAACCTGAACCAACTGGAACCAAGTTACATGTACACACAAACATTCAAAGATATTCTCCTTGAAATGGAACATGATCGAGAACAAGCCATCAAGATCTTAACGGGTTATTGCCGCAATCTTTATTCTAACAATATTAAAGAATTAAAGGTTATTGATGAATTTAAAAGTAATTATCGCCCAGAACAAGCAATTAGGTGGTATACACGTGAGCGCTTTACGTATCAAATGCTCAATAGAGCATTTCGAACATTGGATGCCGATACAATTATTAATATGGGATTTTTTATACATGATCTCCATGAGCAAATTGATCAGTTGCATCAGCAACAGCTTCCATATTGTCGTAGTAAACCTTTTACAGTTTACCGAGGAGAAGGTCTGTTGAAAACTGATTTCGACAAACTCAAAGAAACAAAAGGTGGTCTCATGTCGTTTAACAATTTTTTATCCACAAGTGCGAAACGAGATGTTTCCCTCCGGTCTGCCGAGGGTGCCTTAGGAAATACAGATATGGTGGGAATACTTTTCATAATGACTATTGATCCGCGTATTTCATCAACATTATTCGCCTCTATTAAGGAGGTTAGTTATTGCAAGGCAGAAGAAGAAATTCTCTTCTCCATGCACACCGTGTTTCGAATAGGTGCAATTAAACAAATGGATAATTATGATCAACTTTATGAAGTTGAACTTAAACTGACTGCTGATGATGATGAACAGCTTCGACAACTGACTGAATGTATAAGTAATGAGGCTAGAGGTAGCATAGGATGGAGACGATTGAGTAAGTTATTACTCAAAACAGGTCATTTCGATAAGGCTGAAGAATTATATAAAGCACTACTTGAACAAACATCGAACGACAGCGATAAAGGATATTATTATAATCAACTTGGATATATCAAAGATCAGCAAGGTGAATATAAGCAGGCGATTGGGTATTACAGAAAAGCAGTTGAAATCTTTGAGGAAATTTTTCCTACAGATGAATCTTCATTGGCTACTTCATACAATAACATTGGTTTGGTGTATTCTAACATGGGAGAGTATTCGAAAGCACTTTCATATTACGAAAAAGCACTTGGAATTCGAGAAAACAATCTTCCTGAAAATCATCCTGGCTTGGCTAATTCTTACAACAAAATTGGTAATGTGTATTGTAACATGGAAGAGTACTCGAAATCACTTTCATTTTTCGAAAAAACACATGAAATCTTTGAAAAAACTCTCCCTGTAAATCATCCTGACTTGGCTACTTCTTATGGAAACATCGGTATGGTGTATAATGAGATGAAAGAATACTCGAAAGCACTTTTACTTTACGAAAAAGCACTTGGAATTAAAGAAAAAACTCTTCCTGCAAATCATCCTGATTTGGCTACTTCATACAACAACATTGGTAATGTGTATAATCACATGGGAGACTACTCAAAAGCACATTCATATTACGAAAAAACACGTGAAATCCTTGAAAAAATCGTTCCTGCAAATCTTTCTCACTTGGCTACTTCCTACAACAACCTTGGTAGTCTATATAACAACATGAAAGCGTATTTAAAAGCACTTTCATTTTACGAAAAAGCACTTGATATTAAAGAAAAAACTCTTCCTTCAAAGCATCTTGATTTCGCTCAATCGTACAACAACATTGGTAGTGTGTATTCTAAGATGGGAGAGTACTCAAAAGCACTTTCATTTTACGAAAAAGTAGTTGGAATTCGAGAGAAAGCTCTTCCTCCAAATCATCTTTCGTTAACTACTTCCTACAGTAACATTGGTTTGGTGTATCGTAACATGGGAGAGTACTCGAACGCGCTTTCATTTTACGAAAAAGCACTCGAAATTCGAGAAAAAACGCTTCCTCCAAATCATCCTAATTTTGCTGAATCATACAACAACATTGGTACTGTGCATAATAACATGGGGGAGTTCTCGAAAGCACTTTTATTTTACGAGAAAGTAGTTGGAATTCGAGAGAAAGCTCTTCCTCCAAATCATCCTTCGTTGGCCGCTTCCTACAATAACATTGGTAGTGTGTATAATAACATGGGGGAGTACTCGAAAGCACTTTTATTTTACGAAAAAGCACTCGAAATTCGAGAAAAAACTCTTTCGCAAAATCACCCTTCATTGGCTACTTCCTACAAAAACATTAGTAGTGTGTATTCTAAGATGGGAGAATACTCGAAAGCAGTTTTATTTTATGAAAAAGCACTTGAAGTCAAAGAAATACCTCTTTCGGCATATCATCCTTATTTGCCTTCTTCCCGCAAGAACGTTGGTTTAGTGCAGCACAAGTTAGGTAACTATGCGAAAGCATCTGGAGGGTGTCGGTGATTGTGGATCAGTGTGTTGTGTGTGAGGATGGGTGTTGGTATTGAATTCACTCCTTACCCAACCATGTCCACCCACGCCCACATCCTAATCACAGGCGGTAGCTGATTTTTATACTGTTTTTTTAGATAGGCGTCTGAAATCGGTGGAACTAGTGAAGCCATGCGGTGAAAACGTGGAAAGAATGCTTGAAAATGATTGCATTACTCATTCAGAAATACATGATCCATCGAAGTACACTATTCCCTCTGAGAGCAGTGAAAGCGTTGATATGGTGACAGTAACAGAGGGAGAAAAAGGAACGGAAACAACATCGACATCGGTAGTCCTACCTGTTTCACTCAAAGAATCCCTTACAATTCTAGGTAGTGTATATTCATTTTTCTGTTTGGCCACCGACGCAGGCGCACTATGTGAACTGGAACATATTAATCCTAAGCCAAGATTTTTTCTAAACCCATACACGTGTTTGTCAGAAGTTGTCGAAGCGACAGGCGAAAAATTAATTTTTATCATCTCTCAATCACTATCGGGGCATTTTATTCCACTTATTCATGACCTTATTCAGGTTATCTACATTTATATTCTACATCAATATGATAGTTATCATGACAGAGACGATACCAGTTATGCTAATAATGAACGATACCATAAAGTTCGTGGAAGTTTTATTGTGCAGACCATTCTTATGTCAAAAATAAATGACGATCTAAATCAGTTATCTATTTTGATGATAAAATCACCAACTGCGGATAATTACGCTAACACGAACAGAAACGTTGATTTTCACCTGATCTGTAGACAACCCTCTTCGTTGAAGTCATTGGATAGTGCGGAACAAAATTTTGTTTTTTTACAATTGATAATGAAAACAATATTACAATTCGATAACACGAATCCGTTAACTGATATAGCTAGTTTAGTTCAACTACATCAAAATTCTACAAATGAAACTGATGGTATCTTTCCATCGAATGGTGACTATGAATTTTATCAAAAATACGTTTTGAATAAAACTATTGATTATTATTTAACAAATGCATCGTTAAAAGATGAACTAAACATGTGCTTCGGCAGCAAAAATATACAAAAAATCTGTAAATTATGGTTATTCATTCATGATTTATTGAAACAGTTACCAGGTAGTAAAAAACCAGTAACACTGTATCGTGGTCAATACCTTGCGACTCAGGAAATACAAGAAATAAGAAATAATACTGGAGGTTTCATGCAATATTTCAAGTTTTTTTCAATGTCAACGTCTAATATTCTTGCTATTTGCCGTCGTGAAGAGGATTATTTGCATTTACATCCAGAATCAGTACTATTTCAGCTTAAGATCAATGATAGTTATACAAATACAAGATTTGGATTGGTTACGCAAACCAATGAGGAGAAAACATTCTTATTTGCACCTGGTAGTATATTTCGTATTGAATCCGTCGAAAAACTGAGCGATCATACTTGGTGTTGCAAACTATGCCTTAGCAATGCCGATGAAAATAAACTAACTAGCACGTTTCAACATTACGAAAAAGAAATTGGTACAGCATTAACTTTTTTATCATTAGGCATCTATTTAAGTGAAATAGGGCAAGTGGATGAAGCAATTACATATTTTCAAACTTTGCTTTCGGTATCAAAAGATCCCGATATTACTTCCGCTATTTTGAATAATTTAGCAATTATCTCTACGTGTAAAGATGATCCAGCTGTTGCGCGAAGTCAATTGGAGCAAGCTCTCAAATTGCAAACATCGGATACTCATACGACATCCACTGTAACGTTGTTATCTCCTAAAAAAACACTAGATATGATGTTAGCACAGCCGATCCCAAGCACTTTACCGATCATAAACTATTATAATCTTGCCTGTATCCATCGAGATCTAGAGCGTTTCGATGAAGCACTGAAAGAATGTGAAAAAGCGTTAAAGTCAACAAAAACCGAGATCAATTCTACTCATACCGCTCTTGTTTACGGTGCAATGGGAAGTGTTTATTATGCTCGAGAAGACCATGGGAATGCATTAAAATATTTTAGAATGGCTTTGGATGTTGCATTAATTCATCTTCCAAGTACAGATCCACTTATTTATCAATATCTAAATAACATACGAATATTGAGTAACAATATTAAATCAACACTTTCTTAATGCATAGATTGTGTTTAAACTGAATGGAATATCTTAATAAATAATGCATGTATCATTTTCTTTTCTTTGTTTTAAATTGCAGGAAGGAGGAGGCGAAATGATCTTAGATTATAACGATATATGCAGTTTTTAGAACAATTAAAACTGAGTGTTCAGCTCATGCATTGAAAGTTTTTTTATTTTTGCATGTAGATTTCATATGTTTTAGAGTAAATAACGATTGATCGATGAGTTGTGCCGAAAATCATATGACACAGTCAATAATAAGGTATGATTTATTAATACTACTATTTAGTTAATCAGTAAAATCGTGTTGTTTGATTCTAAGGTCCACGAATCCAAACGATACTCAATTATCATTTTCAAAAATTCAGGCCTATATCGGAGTATGGCTTGACAATACTTGCAAACAAGAAACATATGATTCTATAAAAACGGCACTTCTTGACGTCTTTGATTCGCTTAAAACATATACTGAGTTTTGGAAGTGCTTAACGTACATTAATAAAGATCGACCAGGAAAAATAATCTTTATTGTGTCGTACGAAATTGGAAAAAATCTAATACCACTCATATTTCGCCAAGATCCTTCACCAATCGAATATATCTATGTTTACAGTATTGATGAAACACAGCAACATAATTGGGATTTCCAGAAGCCGGATAAACTACGCGACGGATTTACTACGGTCCATAGACTAATTAAACAAATCATTATTGACATTAGAGAATTCAATGAGCGTGCAGAAACGATAGCGCCTAAGATCACACCATCAACCTCTATAACAACAACATTCGATGACGCTGGCGGTACAACAACATCAAATGATGTCATAACCAGTCGTCGTCATGATCACTGTCTGCCACCGCCATCGTTTTTCAGTGAAAATATTCAGAACACTTCAATAAAAGATCTGAATGCAGATTCTGCTTGGTTCATTCAATTTCAGTTGCTAGTTGAAATTTTAATACGTATGACAAACTCAGAACAAGCGAAAACAGATATTGTATTCGTCTGTCGAGAACATTATAAAGAAGATAAGTCACAACAAACTAAAATAGATCGTTTTGAAAAAGAAGCTGATGATCTTTCAAAAACTATTTATTGGTATACACGTGAATCTTTTATCGTTCATCTATTAAACAAGGTGTGTGGTACTGAAGATGCTGATGATCTCTATAAGTTTCGATTATTTATTAGGAATTTACACTATCGTATTGTTGAAATGAATAACGATAATCTCACAGTTCAATTAAAGAGGAAGGAAGTTGTATTATATAGAGGAAAGCGTGTAGCTGCTAGCACTTTTGAAAATTTCAGAAATAGTATCAACGGTCTCGTAGTAATGAAAGGCTTTTTGTCAACAACGATGGATCCAAAGGTTGCTGAATTCTTCGCCGGCGGTGATGTAACGCAAATGGGTTTTGTGAACGTTTTATTCAAGTTAAAAATTGATAATTGGGAAAAATGCAAACCAGCGGCTGCCATAGATCCGGCTTATAGTGCCATGGAAGATGAACAGGAAGTTTTATTTTCTATCGGAACTATTTGGAGAATACTTAACGTGAATGAATTATCAGGTTCGTAAAATCCGCTTGGTAATAGCAGCTTTTAGAAATCTACCAAATACTAATCGTTTCGGTCCCAAAGACAATTAGAGAAGACTTCTGAAATAATTTGTTTGTCAGGAGCTCGAATAAATAATACGTTTTCTTACATCTATGTTTGTAGTTATTTTCATCTTTATGTGTTGTGATTTAAATATTTTGTGACGAAAACTATTTTGTTCTCCTCAACTTTATTTAGATGGAATGTGGTGTATTGAGCTAGCATCTTGTCAAGAAGAAAATGCACGTTCCATCGAATTAACAAATTATTTAAAAGAACAGTTAGGTGAAACAAGTGATTTATGGACACTAGCTGATTTCTTGATGAAAAAAGGTGAATTTGATAAGGCGGAGAATTACTATACAAAATTGGAAAATGAACTTAACCTACCTGAGAAGCACGCTGATCGAGCAGAAATATATAATCGCCTTGGTCTTATACGTCGAGAACAAAATGAATTACGTTTAGCAGCTGAATATTTCGAAAAAGCAATAAAAGCTGCTCCACCACATAACGACATAGAAGCAACGGCTAAATATAATCTGAAAATTTCCGAAGAAGATCGGAAACGAAAGCCTCTTTCATTCTTAGGTAAACGTATAGGTTCAAGCGATATAACAATTAAGTCTCTGGCTGCAAATCACGCTTCTATACCACTTGTAGAAAATAATTTAGGGAATGTCGCTTGGCATGAAGGCAATTATAATCTCGCTTTTATGCACTATCAAACTGCTGTTTCTGCCATGGCAGAGTCAAAACTAACTTATCTTCGGGAAATTTCCTGTGTCTACAACAATCTGGGAGCAGTTGCTTACAGTAAAGAAGATTATTCTGGCGCAAAGGACTATTTTGAGAAAGCAATATTTACACTTCAACAGTTGAATCGAAGGCATCCATGGATAGCTGAATATATAGAAAACTTAGCCTATGCTCAACGTAAAATTGTCATGAAAAGACCGTTGACTAATATACATGGAACTATTTTTTAAGATACTTCTGTTGACTAGTTTACTACTTTAGCTATAGTTAATTTCGTCTACTGTGTTACACTTTTTTCGTATTAGTTGATGTTCTTTTCCAATTGTCTAGTTTATCATTCAAATAAAACTAACATCATTGAGGGTGTGGGTGTGGGTGCGGGTGTTGCTTTATTGTTTATCCACACCCACCCACTCGTATCAACACTCACATCCATCCATCTACACCCACACCCTCCGTGCTTCAACAAACAATACAAGATGCTGTTTGCATGATGAATGAATACTATGGAAGTCAGATCTATTCTCATTTAGATTAATTCGATGTGTTTACGATTAGAAAATCGATATTATAGATTAAATAAATTGATAAAATCATGATCTACTTCGAATTATAGGTATATAAAATAAAGATGAACTAATATAGTGACCAACCATTATTTTCTTAAAATCAACAAACCATCTTGAGGGTAGGTGTGGGGGTGGGCGTGGGTGTGGGTGAGGGTGGGTGTGGGTGTCTTTTTCAAAAAAAGTCAGACTCACTCGTACCCCATACCCACATCGACACACACACTCACACCCACACCCACCCACCCACCCACCCACACCCTTCTTCACATTTGTATTTATATCCATGCCCTCCTTCAATGAAACTATCCACTCAGCTGTACCAATAATGATCTGTCTTTTATTCATCATGGCTCTTCTTCAACAACCGCCATAAAATATGACTTCGAGCTGCTACTGCAACTCATATATTATTTAATGAATGATAATTTATTAAGAAATGTGAATGATTAAATAGTTTGAATAAATATTAAAAAAAATTATGATTCAGCTCACAAAAGAAAATGTCATTCTGTCTATATTGATTAATAAAGCTCAGCACTATTGAGAGCACCACCATTGTATCCACCAGTAACTAATACTAAGCCATTTGCTAATGTGGATGCTGTGTGATATCTTCGTATGATACTCATGTTTGCTGTAGTTATCCAAGTGCCTGTTGATGGATTGTACAATTCAGCACTATTCAGATAACTACCGTTGTATCCACCACTAACTAATACTAATCCATTAGCTAATGTAGATGCTGTGGGACTAATTCGTGCAACAGTCATGCTTCCTGTGGCTGTCCAAGTGCCTGTTGATGGCTCGTACAATTCAGCACTATTGAGATAAGCACTACTACCATATCCACTAGCAACTAATACTAATCCAGTTGCTAATGTGGATGCTATGTGATAATATCGTGCAACATTCATGCTTCCTGTAGTTGTCCAAGTGCCTGTTGATGGATTGTACAATTCAGCACTGTTGAGATAACTACTACTGCTGTTCGATTCACCGCCGGCAACTAATACGGAACCATTCGCTAATATGGATGCTGTGTGCCAATATCGTGCGACACTCATGTTTCCTACCATTGTCCAAGTGCCTGTTGATGGATTATACAGTTCAGCACTATTGAGAGAACTACTACCGCTGTTTGTTCCACCAGCAACTAATACTAATCCATTTACTAATGTAGATGCTGTGTGATATTGTCGTGCGATATTCATGCTTCCTGTAGTTGTCCAAGTACCTGTTGATGGATTATACAACTCAGCACTACTGAGATAACCACCGCTGCTGTTCAATCCACCAGCAACTAATATGGATCCATTTGCCAATGAGGATGCTATATGATATCCTCGTGCGGTACTCATGCTTCCTGTGGTTGTCCAAGTGCCTGTTGATGGATTGTACAATTCAGTACTATTGAGGTAACTACTGTTGCTCTGTCCACCGGTAACTAATACGGACCCATTTGCTAATATGGATGCTGTGTGATATTTTCGTGTGACATTCATGTTTCCTGTCGTTGTCCATTCTAGATAAAGCAGAAAAGCGAGAAAAAATGTTATTTTTAAAATGACTTCAGATCTCTCGTATGTATAAGTTGTGTATCTATTGATTACAGATTAAATGGTTCCAAACGTTCAATAAACTTCTCTTTATTTTCACGCTTAAGATAAGATTCACTATGAAATGTTAAACTAAATTGACGATCAATATGTTATAAACGATTTCATTGATATTTTTCGAGTTCTATCGATGTTGCGAACTGTGGAAACAAACGTTGTACAACATAGTGTAAACAAGATGTACTTTCACGATCTTAGAGGGATATGTTGCATACATGTCTCAGGATGTACGTAACAATCGATGTCAATGAGGATGTGACTGAAAGTAAGAAAATATAATTTTCACATTGTTCTCATGAGAAAATCAGTACACTAAGAGTTAATTGATGATGATCAAAGGCGTTCTTCTCACGTTTGAAGTTTGCATTTTATATTACTACGATATTTTTTTGAATTACTCAACTCTTTAGAAATGCAACCTAAACCTTGAAATTAGGTGCTGATAGATATGTCTCGTGTCGATATTGTGTCAACTAGCACTTCACCGTATACAGTTATTCCAATCATCTTGAGATTGAGCTGGTGTGAGTGATTACTAAAATGATCAATGAGTTCTATCACATGAAAATCTTTTTTATCAACAATGTTTTCGTCTGATACTGTTCGACAGAATGAGCATATCTAATATTTGAATCAGTCTAGATCGAACCAAGTCATCAAAAACTGATCATATTTCGACTTCTAATAGGAAATGTTTTCTAATGCTATTTATCTGAATGACAAACATTTGATAGGTAAAACCTAAACTTTAGATGTCGTCAGTTGTACTTATCATCTTTTGAGCAACTATAAATCATTTAACATGGTACTGACTTGGTATTGCTGTCGTTGTTGTTCTAGTTGTGGTGGATGTTGTTGCTGTTGTTGTTGTCGTTGCTGTCCTGGTTGTGGTGGATGTTGTTGTTGTTGTTGTTGTTGTTGTTGATGTTGTTGATGTTGTCGTTGCTGTTGTTGTTGATGTTGTCGTTGCTG